GGTCTCGCAAAAGTATTGCGGGAAGATCTCGCAAAAGTATTGCGGGAAGATCTCGCAAAAGTATTGCGGGAAGATCTCGCAAAAGTATTGCGGGAAGATCTCGCAAAAGTATTGCGAGATCTTGCAAAAGTTCTTTTTTTCCCCTCCATGTCCCTTTAGGGGCTCCGTAATATTCCATTTGTCAAGGATTAAAAGTAATCCAGCATCTTTATAAATAAAACTTTCCATGATGTGAAAATTACCACATAAAGTCCGTTTTTTACCATCATAATAGTTTGATCCTTATAGCCAATGCAAACTGTCCTGCTAATTACCCTAGCTTCCTCAAACATTTCCGGTCATGTGTGGTTTCCTCACCTTCCGGCCTACAAAACAAAAGTGCTGCCATCGATTATGTTAAGATTTGACGATGGGACAGCCCTTGAAGCGTCACAAGCGCTCCCTATCAACTGCCATCTTTATGCGTTCTTTCCCTCTTATTATGGCTCCTAAAGTCCGGCTGCTATTGGTTAAAAAAACACACAATGTTTGGCTCTCTAGCCAATGAAATGACCTTTAAAACAAGGCTAAGCACGGCTAATTTGAATAGTGCAGCCCTGATATATTGCAGGGCGTAAACGGCATACAGGAAAGATCTGTTCCTGGGTCATTGCATGCTGTTATAATAATAATAATAATAATGAATTTGATTTGTAACGCACTTTACATTTGAATTCAAATCTCAAAGTGCTACAGTTCAAAAAGGGAAAATTAAAACAAAGGTTAAAAGACCATAACTTTAAAACAGAGTAAAAGACAATCATTAAAATCAATACATTTGAAGGCATACATAGCCTATTATACATTTTGAAAAATCAGCAATTGAAAGCAATTCTAAAAAGGAAAGTTTTCAATCCTTTCTTTAAACAGTCCACCGTCTGAGAGGGCATTCCACAGATGGGGAGCTGCGGCTTGAAAGGCCCTGTCGGCCATTGTTTTTAGCCGTGTCCTCTGTGGGGCCAGACGGTTACCGTAGATGGAAACTTAGAAAAAAAAAAAAAAATATTTGCTTCAAAAAGTTTTTTTGTCCATCAAAAGGCCTCATTGTGATATTATTTTTGTTTTTTTTGGGTACAATTGTTGTGTAAAAGCAATAAGCAAAATTTGGCATAATCTGGCACATTTGGAGAGGTTTGAAGACGCTGGTGACACCAGACGTTTAAAGTCCCATAGCTCTGGAACTGTTATACCTAGAGGTCTGAAATTTTCTTCATGTGCGGTTGAAATAATGCAGAATAGATGTAAAAAAAAATGAGACATGCTTATTGTGCTCAAATGTCTTTGTTACTGCAATTCAAAAAAGACCTATCATTTCCAAGAAGGAAAAACAACTATGAGTCATGTTTTAACTGCTGCAATTTAGGCTGTTTTAGTCGCACTGTTTAACACAAGTATCACATGTAATTTGGGCTTACAGTTCCTCAGTTATTTGCTTTTCCATTTGGGTTTGCAAAAAGGCGAGAATTACTTCAAATTAGGTGGATGTTAAGAGGTTATGTGACAACAAACCTGTCGTTACCCACAATCAGCTGAGAAAACTATATTTAGGAAGCAGGGATCCATCAAAGCTTAGTTATAAATTTGGTTTATGGAAATTCCTGAGCTTTTTTGTTTTTTTAAATGAAGGATTTTATTATTAAAGAAAATGAATCTACTTAAGGAAAAAAGGTTTTCACATCTCTTATCTTATGGATGATTTTATTTCCCCAGGTGGATTCGATCTGGAGGTCAAAGGCTGGGGCGTGGAAGACGTCCATTTGTACAGGAAGTACCTCCGGAGCGACCTGATCGTGATCCGGACGCCGGTGTCCAACCTGTTCCACCTGTGGCACGAGAAGCAGTGTGCGGACGAGCTGACGCCGGAGCAGTACCGCATGTGCATCCAGTCCAAAGCCATGAACGAGGCCTCCCACTCCCACCTGGGCATGCTGGTGTTCCGGGAGGAGATCGAGGCCCACCTCCGGAAGCAGGCCTTCAAGACTCAGAGCAGGACGGAGGACTGAGCAAAGGACATTCCTAAAGGAGACTGAAGGCGCGTTTACATGGATCCTTCTGCTTCTTTTTATTAACTGCACAGCTGTAGACGGATGAATGTAGAAAAATGTGAAATGTGGCACAAAAATAGAAGCCTTACTGAAGCGGTACAGCCGCGGGAAACAATCAGCAGTATTATAGGAAAACCTTGGAGACAGTGTTAGGATTCTGGGAACGAGATTTGGAATCCGTAAGTTAGGATTTAACGAAGAGCATCAGAGCCTGGTCTCTTCAACGCCGCTTTGCTGCTTCGCTTCTGAATGTGAAACATGTCAGCAGCTTCTCAGTACCTTTAAACACCCTGAGGATAGATTAGCAGAACGTACCCAACAATGTTTGGAACGGAAGGGATCACATTCTTATTTATTGAGCATGAGAACAAGGAGGGGTTGCACTTTTTCTCAGCGGCGATAGAAATATATTCTGACCACTCGTGGAGGTGAAGCAGGAAACCTCCAGCAAAGGCTTCGTCTCCTTTAGGAGCTGAAAAAATACTTTTTTTAGAAGATTTTTGGCTTGTTTCAAATTTGAATCCAATTCCTTTAAAATGGTTTAAAATACAGATCTTAAAAGATCGTCACTCACCATTCCTGCTTAATATGGCTGTCATGTTTAGCTAGCTGCTTTTTGTCAGATTCTCTCTTCATTCGTTTATGTTGCTGGTCAGAAGTAAGGAGTTTACCTTCAAATTTGGGATTTTAAAGATCTATGTGACCATTTTATGAGCAGTTCATCAGTTTGAGTTTATGGTGGATTTCTTTTCACGCATACATGGACTAAAATGTGGGAAAAAGGTCATTATTTCTTAGTGGAACTGGTTTTCCATCCATTAGCTTCATGCTAGGCTTATTGGACTGTTTCTAACCTGTAGTGATGTGTTTTATGGGTCTATAGGTCCAAAACAGCAAAGGTTTGGTTTACAGAGGAGGTTGAAGGACAATTTCCTTCATTAGTCCATCCCAGAGCATCCTTTAATCCATGCATCAAGTGGTGCGGGCCACTGTCCTGCAGGCTTTAGAGGTTCCTTGCTCCTGCACAGCTGCTTTTAATTGATTTAATTTTAATTGCTCTATTGCAATCATTATAATGAGCTGTGCTAAAGCAGGGAAACCTCTAAAACCTGCAGGACAGCGCCTTGAGGACCAAGTTTGGGGATGCCTGCTTTAATCCATGCATCTCCAAAGTGGTGCGGGCCGCTGTCCTGCAGGTTTTAGAGGTTTCCTTGCTCCTGCACAGCTAATTTTAATTAAAAGCTGATTAACAGGCTTTTGCTCAACTGCAATCATTAGAATCAGCTGTGCTAAAGCAGGGAAACCTCTAAAATCTGAAGGACCAGCAAGGACCAACCTCGGGGATGCCTGGTTTAATCTAAAGCTGACAGCTTGGGTGAGACGGTTTAAACCTGACATACAGTTTGAGGTTTTAAAAGTGAAATAAATGGCTTCTCCAAACTAAATGAAGATGGAAGGGCCCTCAGATTAACTGTTTGATCATTAAAAGCGGATTTGACAGGAAGCCACTCAGAGAGGACAGATATTACCTATCCAAAGCTGGTGGGTCATGTTCAACCTGCTGAGGAATATTCATAAAAACAGTTTGGGTTTATATATAAGTGCAAGTATATAACTTCTGACTATATTTGCATTAAAATCCACAATAAACTCCAACTTCAAGGCCCAAATTTCGTATTCGTTCCAGAGTTGGAAACTCAAAGCTTTAGGTCCACATTAAGGATGGAGGGATTTGTTCGCTCTTTCTTTACTGGGTGTATTCAGTGTTTTTTGTGTTTTTTTTTTGGAAGCATCAAACCACAACCAAACAGGCTGCAGATCTAATTAATATAGATCTGTTAAAGCGTGCCCTGTGTTCTGGGCCTCTGTTACAGAACCTCTTCATCCATTTACCGCCTGAAAAAGGACGTGTTTGTTCAGGCTGGTGGTGAGGGATAAAAAAGGGAGAAAATGTTTTTGTCCTTTTTTTATTTTTTTAAGGAGTGTGTGAAAGTTTAAAACGTCTCTCCGATGTAAATAGTTCTTAAACATTTCTTTTTATTCCAAACATTACATGGAACCTTAAAGAACATGTCGACTGTGTTGCATCTGCTTGGAGCCGTCGTTCCCGCCCGCCTCGTCCCGAGCGAGGTTGGTCGGAAAAGGTCACAGCAGATTTTCTTACAAATATATCAGGTAGTTCTTGCATTTGCATCCTGTACTGTAATTATTTACAACCGTTTACTGCTTGTTCTGCAGCTTTTCTAGATTGTCATGAGGTCTTCTTGCTTGACAGGAGAAGATAAAATAAAAAAATGTCTTCCTCTCTGCAGAACACAACAGTTAAAGCTGAACAATAAAAAAAATTGAGCAAGATGAGTTTATTGTGAAGATTTGTCCATGAAATAACTTACAAGCATTAACTTCATATTCCTTTTGATCATTATGGTACATATTTCTAGTCGACCACCAGATGCATATTGGCTATAAAATGTAATAAACATGAATCTACCAGCTCATTCATGTTTCTTAATTTAAGACCATTGAATAATACAAACATATTATTCATCTGGGTAAAATAAACTACTTCGATAAAAAATAGAAAAAAAAAATCTTCTTGAAATGGCAGATTAAACCAGACGGAAGAATCGGAGCATTAATGGGCCGGCTGCTCAGGGTGGATCCCCATGGTTTTGTAGATCTCCTTGAGGAGAAGCAGCGCCGTGTCTTCGGATTGCCTGTAAAATGACGGAGACGGGAGAAAACTGATAAACGCCGGTGATCTAAACATGGATTCAAATAAATATATCTGGCCTTGATCTCAGCAAGAAGATAAAATGACAATGGGATATTTTTGCCCTTGAAATAAGACACTGAAGTTCTTTTTTTATTCATTTTAAACATGAATCAGTCCAATGCCAAACTGAACTGCCTTATCAAATGACAGAAAATACACTTTTTATATATAAAATGTAATAAATTTCTGCAGTGGTTTCCGGTATTTTTCCCATTTCCACACCTGATCCTTAGATTTATCGGTTGTTTTGTTCTCCATAGAAAGATAAGAGCTCTGAAGTTGTGCACGTTTACTTTCATGAAATTATCTAAAGGTAAGTAGTTGATTCACAAAAATACTGCAAGATGTAAATTAAATTTTCCCTTAAATTCAGGAGGTTATAAAGACAATTTGCCACTGGAATAATATGGTTAAAAGTATGAGAAAAATCTTAGATCCAGTGCAAAACGTGTAATCGTCTTATTTATGCTAATTGTACTGGCAGATCATATAATTAACCTGTTTAAATTTATTTAGATTTATTTTGTCATTCTGTATATACAAGTGTAAAAAGGAAATTTCATTTTTTAAAGTGCAGCCTTGATAAGGTAAGCAGCAGTAGTTGTTGTTGAGCTGCTACTACTGCCTCCAGCTCCTGAATTACTCGCTTCTGGCTCAGGGGAGGAAGAGGACGATGATGATGATGCTGTGAGGGGGTAGCCCGCTGGGTTGAAGAGGCTGAAGTGGTTGAAGCAGCAGTGATGCCATTGGCAGGTTTAGCAGCGACAGACGATGCTGGAGAAGGTGTGGAAGCAGGAGGGGGCCGGGAGGAGCCAGCTGGGGATGTTTCAGAATTTGGCAGGGAAGCATCTAGAGTGCTATCCTCATTTTCACCTGCAGAGGGCAGTGCTTCCCCTGTAGATGCTGAAGATTGCCTGGGAAACAGTCTCAGAGGAGCCTCCATTCACGCAGAGCTCTTTGTTTCTATCGGCGCGGTACAGCATCAGCCCCCCCAGGCCAAAAGTACTGCTGGACGCAGCCAAGACCCCGTCAGAATGATGGCGCAGCAGTTACATAGCTCTTTTTTTTAAAAAGAGAGAGTTTGAGTCGGAAATTATCCATCTGTTTTCCAACGAGCGGATATTGGAGAGCAGGATTGATGGAAGCGGTGGTCTGTGGGGATTTCTCTTTAGCTTCGCAGTTAGCCCCCCCTCCGTCCGTTATTTTCCGCTGTTGTTTTGTTAACGTCAGTCCGTAGCACTCCGCAGCGTTTTAAACGATCAAAAATGTCAGTATTTAAATCATTTTGTGACCGTAGCTCCAGCAGGCGTTGGCGATCATAGATGCATAACATAAATTAGGCTTATTTCAGGGAACTTTTACTAATTCTTTAGATCAGTTTTTGCAGTGATGTATCCTGAGGTCACATGTTGAGCTTTATACGATAAATGATCTCAATATGAAAAGAGTTCAGGCTTGTTTTTTAGCTGTTTGATCAGTTTTCCTTTTATTAGGGATGAAACAATCTGATAATCTATTATTGAAATAATCTGAAACTAATTGAGTTATCAATTATCGTTAACTGGAGTAGCTGTAAAACAGGCCTTTAGCTGATGGAGTCCAAACACCCACTTAGAGTAGTAATTATATCAAAATAAAAAAATATATATAAACATTTTGTATTTAAAATAAAAAATTCAAAAAAGTTCTGTCAATATGCTTTATCAAGAACTCAAGTGGAAAAGTTTCACCTGGTTTAATTTCGTAAAAAAATCTTTAATAATCGGATAGCAAAAGGTTCATTAATCAATGAATCGAAAAACAAATTGACAGATTAATTGATTCGCGAAATAATTGTTAGTTGCTGCCCTACTTGAAATAAGATTTTGTTTCAACAGTTTTATAATCTCAACCTCTGGATGTAACATCATCTTCAGCTAATTTTATTATTTTCATTTTGTAATATAATATTAGCCTCTTTCCTTCAATAATATAATCTAGACATAAAACAAGGATTTAAATAGTTTGGGAAAACACGTAGCTTTGCTTGATTTCCATATTTGAACAATGAGTATTTGATTATTTTCATCTGCAGATGAATCTTTATTATTTTTCTTTATTAAAAAGAGGAATTTAATTTTTCACTTGCATGTTTCTCACATGATATAATTAAGTAAAAATATCGGCAGAATTACATTTTTTTTAAATCTAAATACTAAATTAAAGGTCAGAGAAATATTTAGAATAGTTGGATTACTAAAGTAATCACTAACAAATTGAAGTGAATTATTTTAAAAGTTATTCCAGCTTTTAAAACAACAAAACAGCAACTTGTAAAATAAATGTATAATAAATGTATAGAACTGTTGCAGTCAAATGAGAAACTTTCTTATACTGTTTTTGTCTTTGCTCTTATAAAGGTGAGCTTTCCTTCAGATTTCTAAATTTATTATCCAGACTCGTGTTTCTGTACGTCTCCTGAACATTTATATCCTTCTAGTCCAAATCCGTTATAACGGTGTTTTTATCTGAACCTAAAAAGTGGATTAGTACTGAAATATAAAGATTTTGAGATTATTTACCTAAGAAGTATAATGAGACAATTTCCACTTTTTGTGATTTTGAAAATTTTTTGTTTTACATAAATGTGCATCTTAGTAAATCCTAAATATTTCACCTCTACACTTGAAAAACGACCTAGAAATAAGTAAAAATTTCTTAAATTAAGTTTTTGTTTTACCCTAGATTTGAATAGGTAAATGAGATAGTTTGACAATGGAATCAGTATGTTTACTCTTAAAATAAGATAATTAGATAATAGTCACTTTAAATTAGACAATGTTTTCTTATTTTAAGAGTAAATTATCTTGTTCCATTGCCAAAATGTCTTTTATCTCCTCAATTCAAGAACAAATGCACTTATTTTAAGAAAAAATTACTTATCAAGATTTTGATTTTTTGCAGTGTATTTAGTGCAGTAAAGAAGAAAGCTCTCGTACCAGTAGCAGAGATGACTCTGCAGGGCAAACAGATACTCGTTGAAACTCTCGATGGGCTTCTCCTGCAGCACGTAGTCGATCCGGTTCCCTCCGTTCAGCATCCCGATCTTCACCTGCGGCTCGTCTTCTCTTTGCAGCTCAAGACTCTCCGGGAGTTTATGCTCTGTGAAAAACAAAAACAAGGTTGTGAATAACCGACCTGAGGGGAAGCAATAATAAACCCAACAACCTGCAGCCGTACCTTCGTGCACGTGCTTCTCCTCCTCTTCGATCTGGTTGGCCACGATGGCCAGCTCGGCCTGCAGGGTGGATGAGGTGTGCGCCCGAGCGAACTCGTTGAGCGTCTGCCAGGCGCTCCTCAGGGAGCTGATGACGCCCTGCTTCAGGTCTGAGCCCATCCTGGAGAGGCTCTCCTTCAGCTCTGAAACGCAGCAATAGTTCATTATTCAGAAAAAAAGCATCTTCATTTTAATGAAACAGAGGATAGTTAAATACTAACAAACCGTCTGGGAAAATACCCGGCTTTTTAAAATGTAAAAAAAATGACGCCATAAAAATATGTCAAAATTTTTCAGTGTTATAAGATTTGAATGAAATACATAGGAATTCTAGAGTTTAACGCTCTAGATTTCACATCAATCATCTAATTAGGGAAACCAGAATGGAAAAAAAATGCAACAGACTGCAGATAAAAAAAAAAACTTTAAATTTCTGTATAAAGTACTTTCATTTTTAATTTTTGTTTTAAATAAAATGAAGTGAATTCATCATTTTAAATGTATTAAATTATGTAAAGGTGGATTTTGAAATGAAATGGTATATTAAATACTTAAAGGAATAGTACACCCAAAACATGATTAGCCTTCATTTTCTACTCACCCCCATGCT